CCTGTGCAGTGCATCACCCACAGCCACACAGCTCTGCACACACACACGTGCATGCCCACACACACACACATACACACACAGAGCCCCGTCCTCGGGGATGGAGACAATGTTAGGGGTTTCTAGCTTTCTATATTTGCACGGGAACATCTATCTTAAAAGTCCCTGTGTTTAAACAGCAAGTGCTCAAGCTGGTCAAGGGAACAGAGGGAAAACCCTGCAGAGAAATTTCCCCCCTGTTTCCCCAAAGCGTTGTCAGCTTTTCAAATTTCAAAGCCCAGCTGATGCTGCGGGCTCCCCCCGTGAAGATCAGCAGTTTGCTCTTTCTGCCACTCGGACCGAAGGTGGTGCAGAGGGGATATAGCACTGGGATGTTCCCGCGGGAAGGGTTTCCCCCTCCCCACTGCCTTTCCCCCTGTCGAAATGAGAAATTTGGCTCCCCGTTTGAAATTTGAAAATCCATGAGCCAGCTGCAAAAACCACTCCTGTCCCTAATCCTAGGCTCCTAAGAGAAACATGAAACTATGCAACCCATAACTTAACTCACTCCTTGGGAATCCCAAGCTACAACATATTGTTTGACAGCATCCCAGCAGTGTTGCTTCCCCCTCCCTCCCAACCCCGGGGACTCTGCAGCCCCTCCTGGGGCAGCACGGAGGCGGTGGCTGCCCCGTGCCGGGGACCACGCTGCACTCAGGAGGTGAAGTAGGAGTTCTGCATGGAGTAGAGGTGGTCGATGGGGTTCCCCACTCGTGCCTGGAGTGGCCCTGCGTCCGCTGTGGCGAGAAAGCAGTCACCCAGGTTGCTCAGTGAGGTATCATCGCTATCCAAGTCGTGGAAGAGGGGCTCGGCACCTTGGAAAGCAGGGAAGGAGCAGAAGTGCTTCAGAGCCTGCTTTCTCCTCTGGCACCTTGGCAGTGCTGGCTACCCCCAGCTTTTGCAGCATAAGGATTTAGGGGTGAGGGGACTGCCATCTTCCCAGAAATTGCCGCACCCCCCATACGTGCCCCCACTACACAGCCCAACACCACAGCCCAGCATTTTTTTTGAAGGAGAGAAGGCAAGAGGCAAACCCTGGAGCCTTACCATAGGGGTGCATGTGGTCTCCGGGCATCTGCGGTGGGGTGAGCCCTTGCCGGAAGGGGTCGGAGCCGTAGACGCTTTGCTCCATGCCCAGCAGCTGCTGGGGCGGGGGCAGAGTGGTGTAGGGGTTCAGCATCCCCTCCAGCCCCACACTGTTGCCACCGTTTGTCTGGGCTGGAAGATAAAAGCAAGCTGTCGGTGCAGTCAGGCTGCTGCTTTTTTGGGGGCCCAGCTCCCTTCGGAAGCCCAGAGAGGGCTGGGAAATAGGGACACCCTGAGTGCAGGGAGAGCTGGGTGCAAGGGGGGTACCTGAGCTCAGGCGCTGTGTGTTCTGCTGATCCTGCTGCTGCTGCTGCTGCCTCCTGGCGAGCTTCTTCATCTGGACGAGAAGGGGAAAAAATGGGGTGAAATCATCCCCCCAGCAGAGCGAGGAGGGAGGGGAGCCCCGGCACTGGCCACTAGTGGGGGGGCTACCCCTTGTACCAACCTTTGCTCGTTGGTTCTGGAACCAGACCTGCACCACACGGACGCTCAGCCCTGTCTCAGCTGCCAGTGTCTCCCGCACCTTGGAGAGAGGAATGACAGTGGTGTCTCAGCCCCCTTAGCTTTTTGGGGGGACTTTAGGAGGGGACAGAGCAGCTGGGGCAAGTCCTTGCCCAGCACCCAGGACATCCCTGGGGGCTGGAGGCGGCTGAGCATGTGCCCTTCTCCCTATACCTTCCTGCAGGGCTTGGAGGAGACCTCAAATGATGCCTTGAATGCCCTGCGCTGCTGTGTGGTCAGGATGGTCCGAGGTCTCTTGGGCCGCTTGTGATCCTTCCCGTCCTCGGCGCCCTTCCCTGAGGCTTGGCCCAGTTTGCAGATGCTGTCCTCGTCGTCACTTTTGCCTAAGGGAGGAAAAAAAGAACAGGTCCTTTACAGACAGTGGGCAGCGCACATCATTTTCCAGTATGTCCGAAATAATCTGGGGGACTTAAAACAAACTGGTGTTGGTGGGGATCTTCTTGTGAATGTGTATGAGGAGCTGAGGTTTGGGGATGGCTGTCCCATGGCAGCTCAGATGGGGGAGAGCTGCTGTGGCTTATAGTTTGGGGTCGCTCAGCCAGCAGATGTGCTTTTTGGTTCTTCTTTTCCCCAACAGTCTGAGCAGCTGCAATGTGAAACCCTGGGACACCTGATTTTCCCTCCATCAGACCCAAATCCCTGCTTGCTCCACAGGGATTTCCTGCCAGGCCACAGCTGGGGACACATCTGGACAGAGATGCATAGGTCACATCCACGCAAGGGGACAGCAGCCATCAAGGACCACTGTGCCCCTGGGGCTGTCCCCTAGCCCCGCTGGTGACTTGGCATCTGGTCCCTCTGCCCAGACAGCCCAGGCTGCAGGAGGTCAGGGCACAGGGTGAGCAGAGATGCTCAGAGAGGGCAACATGTTAGCCAAGACCTCACAAAGCCCTCCTGATTTGCCCCGCCACGGAGGTCAACTCCATTCAGAGCACAGAGTTTTAATCACAAACATAAGAGGCGCCTTTTTGCCTATATTTCCCCCCTTCCAGGGAATCTCCCTGGACAGAAGCCCAGGCTGCTTCAAGCTTCGCCCCTCGAGTACTCGCTGCAATGTACGGCTCCGTTGTGTTCCCAGGCACTGGTGTGTATCTCCCTGCTGCTCTGTGCTGCTCAGGGCTGCAGGGCATTTGGGCAGGAGCTGCTCCGGGAAAGCAGGCAGCGCTGTCCTGCCTCCTACCAGCCCACCTCATTTACCGCATCACCACCGTGTTGATGACCTCGGTTGTGTGGGAGGGCTGTAATGCAGGTTTGACAGCACAGGTCCTTCCCTCTCACGAGCGGTAAATCACTTACAGGCTTTTCCAGAAAGCTCCTCCACCATCTGTGTGGGAATCGATAACAGAGCTGAGGTGCTGGTTTGATGTAGACACAGGCTGCAAGGCCGTGCTTGGCCCGAGTCCTGTCCTGGGGCTGCCGTGACTCTGGGAGATGGGGATGCACCAGGGGGTTGTAAGCCTGGCCCAGAGTAATCCATGGCTAAAGCAGGTCAAGTTGTACCCCATGGTGACGGCTAATAATGGATCACACATATCAGAAAAGTTTAAATCCAACAGCAGCCCAGTTGGCAATCGTGAAAGACAGGAGCAGATATCTGGGGAGAGGGGAGGCAATAATCCCAGCGGAGGAGCTAGGATGCTCTTGCATACCATTTACCTCTTCCCTCCATGCTTCTGGGCTCTCTCCTGGCCTCACCAGCTGATAGGGAGACTTTCCCTGTGGCGAGGTCTGGGAGGTCTGGGACAGGGAGAGATCTTCATGCTGGCAGTCCCCAAACAGCCTGGATCTGGGTGCTGGCCCCCAGGAGCCAGAGCCTTGCCGCTGCTGTGAGCTCCCTGCTCGCTCACAGCATGCCCATGGCAGCAGCGTCAATGGGAAAGACAAACTGCTGTTTCCTTGCATGTCCCAATACAAGGGATGCTGTAGGTCTGAGAGCCCCAGCACTGGGTACCCTCAGGCTGTGGAGTCTTTGACGGCTAACGGGGCTGAGCAGTGGCCGCCGCTGCCTCCTTCTCAGTGCCAGCACAAGCAGGGTCTCTGCTCCGCTGAGCTGCCTGCTCTTCTGATACCTGAAAGAGTTTAATTTTGATGGAAGCATAGAGATTTTACAAATATTGGGAGGAGGAATGTCAACCAATGGAGACATTTTGGTGCCTGAACCCCTTTGCACCCTAATACGAGGTAAGCACCCCAATCACCTCCAGTCTGGGAGGGGCAGAGCCCAGCAGGGGCGAAGCCAGAGGTTCATGGACTCCATCAAGCAAATGATGCTCAAAACCCATGCGAAGGGGGAAAACTCGCTTGGAGCAGCTCCCCCAAGCCCTCCCCCCCAACACCTGCTCCCCAAATCCCTCCCAGTGTCAATGGGAAAGAAGGAAAAGTGAAGCCGGATTTGGCGGGGTATTACTTTTAATTAACTCTCCCTTTCAAGCCTTTCCCCACCAAGGAGGCGGGAGAAATTAATGAGTGTCTGGGGCTGCCCCTGACGTCACCTGGGAAGGGGCCGGGGCGATGGATATTGTGCGACG